AATTGGACCTCAAAAATCATATAGGTGATGTCCACTTGTCCTTTTAAACATTTATAGCTGGCAATGCTAAGCCTGACTATCATTTCGTTTTGGCGTACTTCAAAAAGCATAAGCAAGACTAAACTAACAAACCCTCCCCATGATCAATGACAAACCTTAAATGATTTAGCAGTAAAACTTTCACATAGCATCCCAATTTATTTGAACCATGGGAGTTATATCTCACGAAACTTTCACTATTGGTTGCATTTTGTATTAATTTGATTTAATAATACTTAACATAACCACAGGTTCAATAGTTGGAATATAGATGTGTTTAAGCAAAAAATACCAACCACTGTCTTCTCCGATAGACACAATAGTCAAATCGAGTTAAATTGAGCACTTGAAAACAGTCTTATTAAGTACCTAACGTAAAAATTAGGATTGCCCTATATTTTTGCATAATGCCCTGCAAAAATTGGCAAAAATTAGGCAAGATCGCATATAAGCGCACTTGTTTGGATCGAACTGAGATGAAACCGGGAGCGGACCAACTGCACTGTATGCGAACTTTTTATCCTATGCTAACTTCATAAATAACATTGGCATGTAGATTCACATCGTTTATCAATAAGAAATTAATCCTAATGTCTGTCCCGTTTGTGCTTATCTCTCTCAAAATCGAACATTCCAAAATGCGTCTACTTGACAAAAGATGGAATTACTGCTTCGAGGTGGGATTAGATTCACTCCATGTGCTCAGTCGCTAAATACAGTTGTTGAAGTGTTATTTGGATCGCACCAAGGTTCTCTCACTTTTCAAATGCTCTGTTCAACTTTATAATTTAAAGAAATACTTCCCTATAGTCAGAATTACCAAAAATATCATATAGGTCTAAAATAGAATACTATGATAGTTTACTGCATCCGTTAATCGTTTTCCAGTTTCAGTTTTACATCCTACTTTTATCAGCCCTGCAATTATCGCAGGGTGCAAAAGGTAGATATTGAAATACTTCATTTGCGATTTTGATGTGTATCTCTGCTAGCAATTTGCTTTGATCTAATTTTTCCTTTGTTATGCTTTACGTTCCTGATTAACAATTCAAGTTACAAGGTTTCAGAGCAAATTTTGACCATTTAATCAAGGAAAACGGAACACGTCTGTTTTAGCAAGTACAACTTAAAATATGCTGGCCAGTCTGTTTGTGCATTTCATTTTCCTCTTTGTTCTTCATTAGTATAGCGAGTTACGTTATAACACTAGAGTATTAAACATAGCAACAAGGGTTTAAATGTGTTTTAATGTTACATCGTGGTAATAAAACGGAAGCGTGTTGTGGGAATCGCTAATGCTAAGTTCATGGAACAATAAGCACGGCGAGGTATGGTTTGGAGAAAGGAACGGTGCTCCGTATGCTCGAGGGGCTCAGTCGTCCCGTGGTTATGAATACCACCAGCACTCATTGAATATAGTTTGAGTTAAATTTCCTCCCTTTGCTAATACACTTATAACTGCTGAATTACATTTCATTAGTAGTAGCAAATATTTATATAGACATCTATCTGAAATACAATGCTGCTGTGATTTTCGAAGACACTAATAAGGTAGTCAGAAAAATTATATTTGTGGGAAGACAATATTCACTCGGTAAGGCGCACTTATTAAAACAAATGCTAAGCCCAATTTCATTTTAAGTGAAATACTCGTTTTAATTTGATCAGAGGAAAATTTAGCGAAGCATTTTTCTTCCTCAACTTACACCAATATGCAAAAGTAAGAATCCCCATGAAAGAAAATTCATTGTCATTATATTATCATGGTGGTTGGACCAAAAAACAAGTTCTTAAGGCGATCACATACATGATAACTAATTAATGTCACGGTTTAACACTTGATGTGCAAACTTTCACGTACTCATTTATCATTGTTTGCATTGACTCGAATTAGCAATGCACAAAATCTCATCGTGCTGTAAAATACCTTCTGCGCACGAGTAATATGCGTTTCGATGGCGCAGCTGCAGTCAAACTCTTGCTAAACAATGTGTTAAACGACAGGAATGAGAAACCAAATTTGCATTACATAAGGATAGAATAAAAAAAATATAAGAATTGACCTGGCTTATTGTTTTGAATTATTCACTCATGCAAAGTAATTTTATTCACAAAAATATGCAATGAAATGTTGTGAAATTTAAAGAACATAGTAGTATTCTAATTAATTAAGGATTTAAAATGGAGCTAAGTAGTTGGGGTTTCTGAGTTTTGCTTCTACAAGGAAATTGAATTACTTTCATTGAATAAAGTGTCTTGCGGTTTATAGCTGATTTAACAACAACAGTTTACTTCAACGTCATTCCTACAAAATTCGTATCTTGCAATCCTTTGTGTTCGATAGAGAGCAAATAAATTTTCATTGTGAGATTTTTTGATGTAATTCATGTTTTCTGCAAAAAAATGAATCTGGGCTTTGTGACAGTGTTTCTTCCAGGTCCCATTTCCCGATTTTTGGCCTGGTATTCATCACCTTCATGTTTTTAATCATCAAAGTTCAAACCTCAACTTTAGTACTTTTCTGTTTTTCGAACAATATTTACGTGACTTCACACCTCTTCAATTTAAGCATAAACCATGCTACCAATTGCTGAGATAAACATATCCGCGCGGCCTAATTTCTCGGCGCTAAACGTGAATTTGCGAAGCTGTGAAACAAAATTTTGGGCGTTGGGGTGACATCTTCATGGTCTTTGATTCGCCTCACCATAATTCTCAACAACGCAATTCAAATAGACCAACTGCGCAGATCTTTTAATTCGAGAATTGAGTCCTCTTATCACGATTAGATAACAGTACGAATTTCGCAAGCTTTAAACAAATGAAGAAATCATTCCTAAAAAGAATGGTTTTACTTTGCCTTAAACCCTGGCTTTAAGGCAATAAACTGTTAAACTGGTAAACTAAGCTAATTAGCTTCCAAAACTAAAAATATCTAGTTTAAGTAGTGCTATATATGGGATTCCACATTTTCGGTGTTAACTGCCTTCCCGCACATTCAAACTTGCCTCTAATGTTTCCGTATTTTATTAGTATTTTCCCGTTTTAGGATCTGTGAAATCTGACACCTTGTGATTTTCTCGAAGTACCGACTTTTCTCACTGGTTTAATAATGAGTTGTTTCGGATATCAAGCTTTTGTCGTTCTACAACCAAATGTTCGAGCAGTATACCGGCTTAATGAGGACTAGTAGGCTATTCATTAGTCGGAGTTATTACTCATTTTATTTTGATGTGCGCCGTTCTGTAATTTTGAAACCTTTTCAATTAAATAACACAGCCCTATATACTTAGTTAGTTCTTGTGAATTTGTGACATTCCCAGCTACTAAAAACCACCTACTTTATCCTAATTCTACAACATACCTAACATTTCTTTTGATTTTACGCTTATTTACTCGCATATCATATTTACTTTATTTGCTGTAAAGTTTCATATCACTTTATTGAATCTCTTCCAAATTTTAGCCCAAATAGTGACCACCTAATTAAATAATTCTTGGAAAAAAATAAGACACATTAGAAAAAGTTATACAAATTGTTTTGTGAATGATATTTGCTACTTGAACAGCTAAGCGTTTGATTATTCAGCGCCTATTAATCCTCCATATTTATCACAGCTAATTCCAACTAGCTTTTCAATAAATAGCTACTGCTCAGCGTAATGCGTGTTGCGATCTAAGTTTGGTTTTTATTTAGATGCCCGTTGGTTAAGTAACATCCAAACTAGATCTATTGCAAGTGCTACTTATACGAGACGCGAGAAATAAAGCCAGTAGCTTTTAGTGCTGCAGATGAAATTTATAAATGAAATTAGACTTGCGCAGCCTACACCTATGTAGGTCGGAGTAAAGTAATTGAATTTATGTAGTAAGCCTTACCAGTTCTTGCGGTTTTTAAATGCAGCTGGTGAGTTGATTTTTGCTTTTGCATCTTTTTTGGGTAAATGCTTGTACCAAATCCGTTTTTTAAAACCGTTGGTTGAAATGCTTCCAACTACACTATTTCTAGGCAATTCTGCAATAATTTACTCCGTTCTTACAGGCGATGAACTTATAAGTGGGCCATTGATATGGTCTTTTCACAAAGGTTTGTTTAACAATTTCGCGTATAATGACTACCGCTTGCGGGTGTAAATACCCAACCCTCCTTCATTTTTCAAAATTACGTACTTAATCAAGATTTCGCCAGCATTTTGCTCAAAATTCCACAAAGCATATTGTTCATTTTTGCTAAACTCTGCCTCTTATCCCTTATAGCCAGGAAATACAGATTTTGTAATTTTTCGGTCCATTCGTAGTATTATTTACGAGTACATCGCTACTGATAACCGTTAAGTAACATGCTAGTGATCGATCGCCACAACTTCTGTGGGAGCGTATTTTTCGAGTGTGTTTATTATATCAAACATTGCTTGCCCAAAATATCATTTTAACCCTAAAATGGTGTAACGAAATAAAACTTATTTTCTAAAGCATCAACTTTATGAATTAAGTTCAGATTTAATGCTTTTTCTAACAATAAAGTAATCAAATTGGCACTACTTAGAAATCATTAATTAAGCCATATTACAGAAACGCACTTTTAAAGAAAACTTCAATTTTACAACTTCCTAAACTCACTAACTGCTGGTTTTATGGACTTGTAAAACACATAAATGTCTTTAAAAAGGAGAATTAAAGGCAAAAATGCGATTCTTAGAACATAGCACAAAAAAAGTTGCTAATGCGCACTGGACTTGAACCAAACTCGTTTAGAGAATAAAAGTACATTTTGAACGCTTAAGATACTAACTGATGTTGAGGTTAAAATATTAAGCACACCAAAACCACTAGGTTTCCACTTTAGCTGCAAAGTACCAGATTTACTAAGAGATTTTATTACAAAATTTTTTTGCTTATTAGGGATAGAAGTAATTATCTTCAGGAGTGATTTACTTTCGTCGAGCTATCACTAGCCAATAAATTGTGTTTATTCTTTGCAAAATAAAAAAATTGGAAGTTACACAAAGAACACCAATACAGACACTCACCCTTAAGGTGGGTTGAAACAACAAATTTGCCTTTATTACCCATTCCTTATAAACTACTTTTAGCTACCCTGGATAGCGGTTGCTTATTGATGGGCTTACCTAACCGCCATTAAATCAATGAATGGCGTCATATCAGTTGGCCTATAGGCACTTTCAAATTATTTAGCGAAAAGCTAATTTTACACTAAGCCCTGTTAAATGTTTGCAACTCGTAAAAATCGTTTTCTAGAAGCAAAACACAAAAATCAAATAATTGCAAGCAATCCTGGCAACCAAAATAAATTGAATTGCATGCTAAGCAGCAATTTTACTTTTCGCAAGTAGTCATAGAATAAGGAATCTAAATAGCACTCAGAACAAATGTTAAAGCGTTCATTTGTATTTAGGAACATTCCTCATCTATACAAATGTGTTAATTCAATTTGCAATTAATGAAAGGTCGTGTCGTACCAGGAGCCATTATTTATGGCTTATGTATGTGAGAGATTTTTTGACTATCTTGACATCCAAGCGTAGGCTTCATTGCTTTCCAAATTTAAAAGCCCATTGAAACTAATTGGGCAGATTTGAATTTCCTTTATTGATATAACCTTTTTACTGGAAAACCCCTACTATTTTCGATGAGGATATTTTAAAGGTGACAATCATCATATTTCTGTGCTTGCATGCCCATTGTTGCCTTAATTATCCTAACACACACACACGTCTTCAAGACATAAGTAATTTTTCCTCTGAAATGTGCCGATTGCCTTGCCGAATGGTCATTACTCATTGCCTCATATACACGTCGTGGAATCTATTTCACGCAATTCTCAATTCATGTACCTCTCTCATCCAGCTGACGAATGAACGCAGCTTAATTATACCTTGTGGTGGGTCGGATTTAGTGAATTAACAAAGCCTGTGAATTGGCGGTCCTCCTGACGTAGGTGCGGCGCAGCGCATACATGTCACCTGCTCCTCATAGGTGCGACAGCACACGCGCGAATGCAAAACTTTAGTGCGTGCATTCGCTTCGACACCCTGTACTCGATCGAGGTCTTCTCAGAGGCTGTAAATTCTACCTATTCGTGGAGCATTCAGTCCTAGCACTCATGGCAGGAAGTTTAACCTACTGTTTAAAACACACTCAATTGAGGGACGAGAAGTAGGTTTTAGGCAAAAGGAATCCTCTCTTGCATTAAGCACTTGAATCCAACAATCGCATATTGTCAGCCCAATACATGTAACAAATTAAATCGGTATAGATAAGGGGCCTAAGTCCACGGAGTGTAAATGGTTGGTTTTTCTGGAGGTTTCTTAAAACACTTTCGCTTTCAACTATTGGCTGCCTTAAAAGCACTGGCTGTCCAATCACGAACTCTAAGAACACTTTATAAAACGCAAATACTGATGCTTAGCGAAGAAAATAGGCAGACATTATTTTTGACGAAAATCCGTCCGCTCCAAGTGCAACTGATTTCAAGTGCTTTGACACTCTTATTTACATTACCAGTTAAAATGATTGGTCGATTTTTAGATACACTAACTTAGGGATACGCATCACATTGCATAGGTAGTGCGATTGCAGAAGACGTGTGCTGTCATTTCGAAACAAAAAGTGGTGATAAATACTAACAAATGACCTTAACGAGCATCTCAAAACAATGAGGGGCATTCCTCAATTAGTGCTTCAGCATTCCACTTCAATTTCAACTTCATAGGAGTTATGAAATTGTTGGACGAATACTTTGGTTAAGGTGTTCAATAAAGTTACTTGCAATATTATTTGTGGAAACTATGCCGCATTTAAGACTGTATTTATGTCTTTTCGCATTTATCATGGGGATATTATTAACCGTAATTTGTCTGGTTCCAACATATTTATTTAAACAAATCCCTTTGGAGTTAATAGGCGTTAATCCAATTCGGATTACATTGCATGGGCCCATGAGAAGGGATACTGATCATTTTAGTCGATTACATAGCTAAGAAAAAGTTGACACTTCATGCTTTAGTAGGTAACAGTCAACATGTAGTCAGTAAATGCACTAGCCAATCTATTCATTCCTCATTAATAGTTGCTACTCAAAGCCATCAACCCCCTAAAATAAGGGAAAACGAGAAACTTTTTTTGCAATTGTTATCCACATTTAGTATAGATAGCTTGAAGCTAACATCTCTTTAATTAGTATTGTAACTGGTTTGTGGAATGGCTTTCTCGTAAGTGCTCTTTATCCATGTCAAAGCTGTGATCGACAAAGTCGAGCCTTAATTCAATTTGCCTTTTCAGTTTTGCATGCTGGTAAACTTTTCCAGAATTTCGAACAAGTCACTTTCGGAAATCCCAAAATTTCACATTGCACAGCATTGTCCTTAGCACTGTTAATTCACATGTGCGCAAATGAGTCGGTACAACTTTTTCTCCGGGTTTAATTTGCTAATTGAACTTCCATATATGCGTCCTTAGAAAGAGTCTGAAATGTATTATGAGTAGAATCCAGGATTAATCACTAACTCGCTCTACTTCTACCCGGCACTGGCACACACCACCCAAAAATACACACCCCCAGCCCTTAGTTAAATTAAGTTGGTATTTGGCAGGAAGAAATCCAGATAATAGCTGTCTCATGCGCCTAGTCAAATGTCAGATTACTGAGAATTTTCCTATTTTATATCCAGTGTAAAACGAGATTTATAGTGCCCTGTGTGGTCGCTTAATTGTGTTAATGGTAGCAAGCAGGTGCTGTCACTGTTTTGAAAGACACTAATTAGTTCTCTCCATACAAAAGCGATCGTGTGCTTACACGTCTGTCACACAAGCTAAAAGCAATAATCACACCACCTTAGCTTGATCCAATCCAAGAAAACCCTGATGCTTTTTTACCGAAATTTCGTATGACTACGCGTTGCTCCTTGTTGGCTGCTTAAATAGCTAATTCCGTATTAATGCATCTCAATTAAATCTGCTATCTGATTCCTCAACTTAGCCATTGCCTCGATTCTTCCACTCAATTATTGTGAAGGCGAAAAGAAGAGGACCAAAGGCAATGCTCACAGCCACGGCAAAAATAGATAACTT